TTGATTTTTATTTTTTATTGGAATTTGATAAATTTGTCCTATTAAGTTTTTATGAAAATTATTTTATGTGTGAGATAAATTTTGGGAAAAATATATGATGTGTGGAGACATATTAGGAATACCCTGGAATTTTCTTAAAATATTATAAAATTATTTTATAAATTCATTGTGTAAGCTTTGTTTTCTACCAACAGTGATAAATAATTGTAAAATGGAATTTGTTCTTCATAAATCGTGAGAAAAATGTGTCCACAATGATGTTTTATAGTACCTTTGTAAAATATCTCAAAATTTAAAGAAGGTTTATTATTTTAAAAAATATTAATACTTATTTTATTGAAATATCCAACAAAGATATTTCATTCACCTTTATTCAAAAAGTACAATTGATAGCGTAGTTTGTTCGTGTTGCAGTTGATGTGTTATTATCGAAAAGAAGTGACTATGCAAATGTATTTGTGCGCGAACCTCAATAGAGGATATCATAATTATGGGTGGGGCTGAGAGACATGTATGTTATAATCATAGATTGAAGCTATGTACTTTGATTTATTGATTTTGGGAGATGAAGTTATAAGCTTTTATCATATCATAGATCCCTTCATACAATTGGAAAACACGTTCTAAATCATACGATAAACATTTAAAACAATATAATGTACTCATATAATTACCTCTTCAAACAATCTCCTCTTACAACCACCAATGCATTCCCTTAGGGTTTCCCATAAGGGCCCATAGAGATCTCAAGTCATACAATTAATTACATATAAGAAGAGCAATAGATGAAACAGATACAATTGGAAAAAACCCCTCAAACATGAGTATACAACAAACATAGGGTTGGGGGCAAATCCCACTACCCAACATACATTCCAACACCTAGAGCGAGGTTTCTCACTCCCCATTTACCTCGATAAGTAGGAGATGAAACTAGAGCAGGATCTTGCTAGTCTCCTTCTCTTGGTTCTCCTTGATCTTCAGAGAGCGTAGAAAAAAAAAAGAAGTCAGAAGCGAAAAAAACGTAGTGCCAGAGTGTGCTATTTATAGATGTCAAAAGTGGCCAGAACGACCCGTTTCGGATCCAGAACGGCCCATTTTTAATTCATTCATCATGTGTTAAATTCACGTCTAGAACGACCCATTCTTAAACCAGAATGACCCGTTCTGGAGTTGAGTTTTAACTCATAACGGTCATGTTTAGAACGACCTGCTTCCAACTAGGGTTTTAAACCTTTTTGATGGTTTGGAACGCCTCATTCCAGTTTTAGGAACGACCCGTTCTAGACTAAAAAAATTTAAAATATTTAATAATTAACAAATATATATATATATATATATATATATATATATATCAAATACATTTGTTTCTTCCAACACAATTATAATTAAAATAAAATATATAAATAATTACAATTATAACACATAATTTTCTTCAAATACTTATTATAACAAATATCATAAAAATATATAGTTCTCTAATAAATATTATACAAAATAATTTTCATAAATATTTATTATTTAATTAACATACTCATAATTATTAAAAACCTCTAAAATATTCTATAAAACCCATTTAATTAATTAAAATAATTATAAGAAAATAATCTCTATATATATAAAAATAAATAATAATTAGTTATTATATTAGTATGAAAATTCGGGATGTTACAGTACCCATATCTTCATAGGTCCTTTCTTTTTAGTTTCTATTCCCTTAGTCTTTCTCTTCCCTGAATTTTTATATTTATAACCATTGGCTTTGTGAGAAAAGACTTTAGGTTTGGTCCGAGAAATCTCAAGACTTGAGTCAAAATCAAGACTAATTTTGTCAGATAGAATCTTTCTATAATTTAACAAAAGGTTTAATTTTGTGGACCCATCAAAAAATTTAGTTAAGTCCTTCCGAGTTGAATATTCATTGTTTAAGACTTCTATATCAGGAGGAACCAAACTAGTAATCTTGTTTTTGAGACATAATATATCTCTTTAGTTTCATCTGACATTTTTCTTTAAAAAAATCTAATTTTTTATAGTGATTTGACAACGCTATCAACATGTAAAAGAGTTTTCTAACCAATGTTAAAAATCTATTACACAAGGGTTGTACTAAAGATATAATTCTCTTAACATATTTAATAAAATTGGATTCTTATATTATTTTAATTTTATTATTTAGGAACATTGGAAAAGCACCGGTAAAACATTCTGTTAATCAATTTTTATCAATATCTATAAAGACAAAATAATATTATTAATTGATGCTTCCTTATATAGAGAATAACTATTTAGTAATGAATATATATAAGTCAAATTTAGTTATTTTCTAGTGTAGTCATAAAAAAAAGATTTAAAAAACTAAATAGTATATTCTATTTTTAATAAGATTATTCGAACGTAAAATTAATTCAAAAATTAAAAGAAATTATTTATTTTTATAGAAAATGATTTGTATATATCTTACATACATTACAATATAATACGTACAAAATAAATATATTATATGCTAAAATAAAACATGAAATAATCATTGATGGTCGGTTCATAGATTCCTATATTCTTATGTTAATGTATCTATTTTCATTGTTAGAAAAAGGAATCTCATCTTTTTATGGTGTATATTGACAACAGTAAATTTGATCTACCTAGTTTAACTCACATTATCATTTTTAGTGATGACGATAATCGATATTGAATATGAGGATTTCTATATCATTTGTTACACCAAGCAATGTAGAATGCCATTTTTTTCATCAATTAAATTGTTCTCTATTTTGTATCGGTGAAAATAATATTTGTTCCACATGTAAAAGTGTTTTTTTAACCAATTTTAAAGATGCATTACACAATTGTTGTCCTAAAGATATAACTCCCTAACTTATTTAATAAAATAGAATTCCTAAAGATCCATTACGCAAGTGTTGTACTAATGATATATTTCTCTAACATATTTAACAAAATAGGATTCATAAAGATTATTACAAAAGTCTTATCCGAAAGATATAATTCTCTAACATATTTAATAAAATAGGATTCTTCTATTATTTTAGTTTTATTATTTTGGAACATTGGAAAGACACTTATTAAGCATTTAGTTAGTCAATTTTTATTAATATCTATAAAGACAAAATAACATTAACATTAATTGATGCTTCCTTATTTAGAGAATAACTATTTAGCAATGAAGATATATGAGTAAAATTTAGGTAATTTTTTTCGGTTTGGTCATATAGAAAAAACATTTAAAAAAAATTAGTATATTTTATTTTACTTTTAACCAGATTATTCAAACGTAAAATTAATTCAATAACTAAAACAATTTATTTATTTTATATAAAATGATATGTATATAACTTACATACATTACATTACAATAATATATATATATATATATATATATATATATAATAAACATAAAATAAAATAATTAAAATTAAAAAAAAATTGTCTGGTGATTTGCCCTGACCTACTCTAACTTATTTTTCTGATAAATTAAGCATGGTGTTTATGATGGGTCCCCAAAAAGAAAAAAAAAAACGGATTAAATAGGTTGAACAATTTGATCAAACCCATTTTGTCCCCATATTAGAAAGGGTAAAATGTGGTATCATACATTTTTAATCAACTCTTGAACAGTCGGTTATCGCAAACATATTTACTTATTTATTTGATTGATTTAGTTATCTATAAAAAAAATGGTATAAAAAGGGTTATACAAGTTTTTAGTTACTGAAATGGAGTTTTGGGTTTTAGTTTTTCATCCACTTTTTGTGGTGGATCTAAGATTCACAGTCAATAGGGCCAATTTATTTTTAAAATAATTAATAATAATAATAATTATTATTATTATTATGAAGATAAATGAAATGTGAAATAAACTGGAAAATATATTTGAAAATAAAATGAAAAGTAAAAAAAAAAAAAAGTCAA